TATTTGAGTAATTTTTGTCTCTTTTTTGTGAGTATCATCAAGAACCTTGTCACTATCCTGATACTGTTCTTTTAATCGTTTTTTGTATCCCTCTATCTCTCCCTGCAGCTTCTCGTACTTTGCAGCATCTACATGTTTGATGTAGTCTGTTTTTGCAACCATTTGATCTTTGACTTTTATTGGAAGGAACATTTTCATAAAATCAATAATTGCTATACGTATGGCTAGACTAGTCTTCATCTCATCACTACCCAGTGGCAGACAGTCGATTGTGAACAGTTGTGGTGAATACGATATTTGGTTATTGGAGCATTTGCCAAGCTCTAGTATCGTGTTGCGCTTTACTTGCTCTACATCAATGCGCTGCCTCTTTCTCTGTAATTCAGATCGTTCATCTGTTGCATAGTCAGTCATTACAATGATGACATTCTTATCAAACAGGCCAGGCAAGAGCTTACTGTAGTATTCCATTGTAGCTTTGTACTGTGCATCAATTTTAGCATTGAATTTAACAACAAGAATACAAGCTCTGATCTCTCCACACTTATTCAGCATCTTTATGATGTCAATCATGTGAGATAAATCTTTATCAGCACTTTCGTTCAACCCTGGGGTATCAATCACGTCAAGCAACAACTTTCTACCACCTTCAACTTGGACCTTCTGACGTACAACTTTAACCTCTTGTGTCATTGGTTTGTTGTCTGTTGCTGCAGCAAAGGTTGGGTTGTCAAGCATGTGCTTCTCATCTGGATCAAAAAGAAAGTTCCCAAAGGTGCTCTTTCCCATTCCAGTGGATCCAATGAGGAGAACAGACATGATGACTGTAGGTAGCTGAGAATGAAGCTACCTCTGCTGTACAGCTTGTTTTATTGTAACATACACTGTAGGTGATGCATGTGATAGTGGTGTGATGGTCTGATGATGGCAATAACGTGTCTTATCTTCCAACACCTTCACTCTGTAGTAGTGAATACTCATAAATTGACATAACTGCATAAACTGTGTTAGGCTAAAATTGTTTTTTAATAAATGAATTACTGCTCTCATCATAGAAGGATCATTTTACCACTACACGGCACTCAGTTGCCGATCACCTTTCCTTCCACTGACATTATGATTTATAATTATTACAAGTACTGGTGTGATTTTTAATTACTTTTTAAAAAGTTTTGTCGACGTAACCTGTTCTGGCAAAAATTTTTGCATTTTTACAAGCTATCTTTATGTATTGTACCTGCAAGGAAACTGCTGTGCTTTTTATAATCATGGTTTCACTCTGACATAATCTCCCTTTAGTTTTAATTAAATACAAGTATTGTATAACAATACACTATGTGGCATATGCCACAAATATGACCATATAACCAAACATAGGCTATGGTATATACCCTCTTCACTTGTTATGTACATGTATTTTGTTAAATTGTTACTTGTACATGTACATCAATGTTTGTACATGTACATGTATGTGATACTTTAACTATTAATCCTTCCTCCCTGCCTGTGTACATATACATGTGTGTATCTTGTATGTAGATACTGTATTTATCTATTTCTCCTTTTTTTTCCTCCTCTCTCCCTTCCTCAGTCTGGTCAGTGTACATATATATCAACACATGATCTTGTATTTCAAAATGTTCAAAATTTTAGGTTTATAGCTAAATTTTTAATCAAAACTAAGCTAGATTATGCTACAGCTACATAATTTTTATTTGTCAATATCTTGTTTTTTGGAGTTCTTCCAACCTTGCCACAGCGTCCTCCATTGTCATGAGATCTGAGCAGCATCTTTTAGCAGCAACACGCCTTTCGGCAATGTATTTTTCAAGTAATTCTATTTCTGCTAATTTTTCTTTATGCAACTTTCGAAAGTCTTCCCATTCTGAATTGCATCGTGTAAGATTAGTATTTTCTGCTCTTAATTCTTTCCTCAAATCTTTAATTTCCTCTGCATATTTTATTCTCTTTTCAACGTAAGCCGTAACTGATGCATAAATTCCACGCAGAAAATTCCCTTCAACTCTTCCAGTTACTGTATGAGATGTTTGGACAATCTCTTTGAACTCGCATTTTCCATTTGACCATGTGGTATACTTGGAAATTTCATGTGGCGAATTAATGCTAAAATCTCGTTTGGTCCTTTCAAATAGTTTCCATCCTTCGTTAATGGAGTGATGTACAGCCACAACTGCATCTGCCGTATCTTTGTCATGTAGCTTTCTTTCGAAATCATTAATTTTACTCTCAATTTCAGTAATTTCCATTTCTTTTTTGCGTGTTTGATCGAGAGCCATTTTACTTTCTGTATGAACCTCTTTCAATCCTTCACTGTAACCGATTATCTCTCCCTGCAGCTTCTCATACTTTTCAGCATCTTTCTGTTTAATGTAATCGGTTTTTGCAACCATCTGGTTCTTCACTTCTATTGGCGGCAGTTGAAGGATGTATTGGAGGATTGCGTTACGCTCATTTATGCTAGTCTCCATCTCAGCACTAGTCATGGGCAGACAGTCGATCATGAATAGTTGAGGTGAATACGATATTTGGTTATTGGAGCATTGGCCAAGCTCTAGTATTGTGTTACATTTTACTTCCTCCACATCAATGCGCTGTCTCTCTCGCTGTTTCACTGATCGTTCATCTGTTGCAAAGTCGGTCATTACAATGATGACATTGTTATCAAACAGGCCAGGCAGGAGCTTACTGTAGTATTCTATTGTTGCTCTGTACTGTGCATCAATTTTAGCATTGAACTTAACAACAAGAATACAAGCTCTGATTTCTTCACACTCATTCAACTTCTTAATGATATCGATCATGTGAGATAAATCTTTTGTGGCACTCTCATTCAACCCCGGGGTATCAATTAACTTAAGCTCCATTTTTCTATCACTACCTTCAATTGGAAAATGTTTACTTGCCACTTTAACTTCTTGTGTCTTGGGCCTGTTGTTAGTAGCTGCAGCAAAGGTTTGATTGTCAAACATGTGCTTCTCATCTGGATCAAAGAGAAAGTTCCCAAAGGTGCTTTTTCCCATTCCAGTGGATCCAATGAGGAGAACAGACATGACTGACTGACTGAAGGTGGTCAAGAATGAGCTGTATAGATCTAGTTTGTTTTATAAAAATAGATAGTGTAATAGTGGTGTGATAGAGTGGTGTGATGATGGCAATAGCATGTCTTGCACATTTAACTTATTAAAGACTTTCTAATACTAATATTCCACCTAGTATAGTGAGTAGCTACTCATAAGCTGACATAACTGCATAAACTGTGTTACAACCTTTCCTTCCGCTAGCAATGTAATTTATATAGTACATGTATGTCAATAATGTTTGTACATGTATGTGATGCATGTACTTTATTTCTTTCTGCCTATATGTACATGTATATATCTTTTGTATGTGTGTGTGTACCAGCTGTACTTAATCTATTTCTCCTTTTTCTTCCTCCCTCTCCAGTCTGGTCAGTGTACATATATATTAACATATGATCTTGTATTTATATCTGAACAAGTGGCCAGAGGAATGTACCATTTAACTAGAAAAGGACATGAGAATCTACAGTAAAGAGGATTAAGTTGGGACAATGGTTGGGATACAATAGAAGAGGGAGGAGGAGACAAAGTTTATCTGATGTGGTAAGAGTAAAGGAGTGGATTTATGTTGTGTATACTGTTTTAGCTAATTCTGATCAAAAGTAGATTTTATATGAATTTTTAAAAGGTGAGAAGTATCCAATTTATAATTTTTTCTAATACATGTACATGTTTTTACTTAATAATTTTACGTATCAAATTTGGATTTTTTTACAATGTTTTAGAGTTACTCAAAAATTGGGCCAAAGTCCTGGTACTAAAGTACAGGGTTGCAGACCAATTTTCATCAAAAATGAAAAGGTGAGAATTCTTCATTTTTATAAATTTTTCTGATGTATATATACATGTTTTTGGTAAACGTGTTGGAAATTCAGTTACTGAAGTTAAAGCAAACCCTGCTACCAATTAAAGCTGATTAAAACTAATGATGTTTTATTATTAGTATAGTTTTTGACTTGCTTTTTTCTAGCTTTCTTATTGCAGCAATCTATAATAGCAATCTATAATAGGTTATAGATTACTGATATTCATGGAGCACTGTATTGCCATTATGAAGGAAGTGTAAATGCTTATAAAGGGGCTACATGTAATTCTCACTTGTGTAGAGTAAGAATTAGCATTTCTGATACATTTTTGATACATATTGATGTCCTTATGCTGTGTAGAAAGTTTGAGCTGATTCCAATAAAAAATTTTTGAGTTATCACCATTTTAAAAAACAAGCCAATTTTTGAAAAATACCCTATAGCCTTGGGTTTTTCAAAAAATGGCTCCAAAATTCCCCAAATTTTTATACACTCATACCTCACTCATCAGTATGATATGACCAATGGACTACCTAGGACTAGTAATAAACTAGGAACTGGTCATGTACTGTTGAAATTACAATAATCATAATCATTGAATTTTCTGATACATTATTGATGTACTTATGCTGTGTAGAAAGTTTGGGCTGGTTCTGATTAATATTTTTCAAGTTATAGCTAAACTAATAATTAATATACTGCTTATATATGCTACGTATGTATGATAATAAATTTGAGTGGATTCCAACTACATGTACATGTTATAAGCCTCGGTAACAAGTAATGAATATCATTATAGTACAACTCACAATACATGCATTTATAAAAATCAGTAGAGGATGAATCTGTTGTTGGTGATGTTCAAATTTTGAATGTGCACTTCACTGCAATTGCCCTGCTCTAATTAAAATAATAATTTACCATCTTGAACAGCTTCTTCATCCATCTTCTTCTCAGTAGCATATAGTTCAGTGTGTACATTAAACCACTGCAACCTCTTGTCCTCACCTGCCACTATTAGTCCTATCTAAAAAACAAAGGAACATTAGTATAGTATCCATGATCATAGATTAATATCTATGCTATCATTGTTGCTATGAATATATGTAATCAATGGGGTAGGTGGAGCTTCCTGTCAGCCATGTTGAGTATGGACAATGATTGGCTTGATAAAATCCTGTACAGTCTAGATGAAATACAGTGAGAGAGGCAGCAGCAATACCTTATAAATGATTTTTAAATTAGTTACAAGGGTCCATTGCTGAAGGAGGTGGAAGGGAAGGAGGGAACTCAAACTGGTCTAGAGGTAGCCATTGCCAGTGGGTTAAAGGACAGGAATTATGTACATCTGATAATGTGTTTAACATCAGAACTGAAGGAATCACTTAAACTGAATGAGACTGTCACTGAACCATCCGGTAAATGAATTATAATTATAATTAATTTTGTTATTGATGTTGTACTATTTATTATTATTTTTATTAATTAGATCCTGATGATTCTGACTCATTTCATCTTGAGTTAAGGTTGTTCCTCAATGAATTAAATTGCGACCATGAGACACTGATAACTGATCCAGCTGCTTTTAATGAGCCTCGGAACAGACTCATTCTGATTGGTCAGTTTTTAATTAATTAGGTGGGTGTGTACCTTATGAATAGATTATTTATTAACTGAGCTGATGACTGCTCGGCTGTTGAAAGTAAAAATAGAAGAATCTTTTGAATATAAAAGAAATAACTGTGAAGTAAGAAGGGCTGAGAGCTACCAGTTGAAAGTAGAAATAGAAGAATCTACCAAATATAAAAGAAATAATTTTGAAGTAAGAAGGGCTAGGAGCTACCAGCCATTTTAATTTTAATTTCCTAGTCTAATCCTTACGATGTCCAATCTAATCTGTTGGCCATTTTGAATGTTTTTGGCATTGATATTCCACCTCCTTATGTCACGCCCACCATGATACTTAATAAAATAATTAAAAAAGTAAAAATAATTTTCCTTCATCTACATTGTCACATGACTCTCACATGATAGAGTCAAGAACGCATTTCAAAGGCCCCAGTTGGGTACATTGGTAAACCACTGGTATTACAACGACTGAGCGCTAAACAATGGGGGACATTGGACCATATCAACGAGGCTTTGTTGAAAGAGTATTCTGTTAGGAGACAGATGTTATTGACAAGGTGCAGCGTAACTGTCCAATCATTTAAATGGTCTGATAGAACCAAAGTGAGTTACCCCAGGGAATACAGTATATGACTTATAAAGTATAAAGCAGTAAGTGAGCTTATAGGGAACACAGTTTTATGTAGTAGACAATGATAATATGTGTTAGAGTTATTCTTAATTTTGTAGGGTAAGGATGAGTCATTTACTAGGGTGTGTCAGTCAAAATGGACTCCATTGAAAGAAAAGGCCCCAATAATAATAGCAAGAGTATTAGCTGCTAAAAACGGTATAATATTAAGATGTGTAAACATGTACATGTATGTACATTTATATTGCTAATTTGCTATTCTATACTTGTAGAGTTATTGAGTATTGAGAAGACCAGTAGTGGCTCTGTTAGACAGAGCACAGCCTCTGATATTAACAAGGTTTTGATTGGTTCCGTTCCTGACAGAGGGGGCAAACTTAATGAGACATGCCTACCACCTGAAATGCCTTTGTTTAAGCAACGGACTGAAGGACCAAGTAAAAAGAGAGGTGGAGGTTAGGAGAAGGGCGGGTTATTAGCACCAGTACAGCAACTGTTTGGGCGAAGCCCTTACTTATTAGAATTTATGTACATGTATGTATGTATGTATGCGTACATTTAGGGGCATGACTGGGAGTTGTGACCAGGAGGTGGAGCCCCTTCAATGTTTTACATTCTTTTTAGTAATACATGAATAGCTAACGTACTGATTACATTTGTGCAGTATGGTTCATTTTATAGCGTGTATCACACGTAATCTCAGTGTTGCTAGTTTGCTATTATAATATTACTCTTATCAAAGTGACTATTAATTTTATTCATAATAATTATGTTGTTGTAACAGTCACATGATAGTCACATGCTATGTTCACCCTCTGTAGTGTCTATGATGGCATGGTTCTCAAAAGATGAGCTTTCGTTCGTTAAAGAAGTACCCGATCAAATTGAAATAGAGTGTCCAGTTTGTCTTCATATCTTGAAAGATCCTCATCAGGTGAGCTGCTGTGGTAAAAATTTCTGCAAGTCTTGTATTGAGCGAATAAAAGCTAGTAATGGATCCTGTCCTATGTGTAAAGAGGAGAAGTATCAATCCTTTGAAGATAAAAATATCGGTCGAATCATTAATGGATTACAAGTCTATTGTACTAATATGATGGAAGGATGTCAATGGAAAGGAGATTTGAAGAATATGTCTAGTCACCTTAGTAAAGAGATGAGAGAAGGAAAATGTCAATTTGAACAGGTCAAATGTCGATATGACGATTGTCAAATAAGAGATCAGCGTTTACATCTTAACATTCACGAGAAGGAGGGATGTGACCAACGACCAGACATATGTGAGCACTGCTATGTAAGAGGCACGTATTTCTTCATTACCTTCTTGCATATGGAATTTTGCTCAAAGTATCCTACTACATGTCCAAACGATTGTGCACATTCTGCTATGCCTCGAGAACGTATTCTTCATCATTTAACACAGTGTCCATTAGAGCCAGTAGATTGTGTGTTTAGTTGGGCTGGTTGTGACGATAAGCCATTACGTAAAGATGTACATGTACACACTGCTGATACTAAACACATGACGCTGTTAGCTGTAGCTTGTGGACAATTAAAGAAAGAAAATGGACAAATGAAAGAAGAAAATGAACAAATAAAAGAAGAAAATGAGAAAATAAGAGAGGAAAACGAGAAAGTAAGAGAAGAAATGATGAAACAAAACAAAGAATTGAAAGAAATGAATGCTCGAACATTATCTTACATTGCTGTCATGGATTGTGATAGATATCCTCTTCTACCAATTACGCTTTATAGAACAAGTGATCCTGTCCCTGTTCACTTTTATACTGAGATTGGTGGCCATCACATGTCAGCCACCGTACTTCAACCAAGACTCTACCTTGCGTTTCATCATGGAAAGTTTGATAAAGTCGCTGCATTTTCCCAGCCTAAAATTCTAGTCAAATATGATAGTGATGATGCACAGCCTGTACAGATAAAGTCGTATAGAAAAGTAAATGATGATATTCCCACACAGGCAGTAACGGAACCGTCAAAAATACAAGATGATGGACTAACTTCTATAAATATTTTTGATTTCATCAGCATTAACATTACACTTACTTTTTCTAATGAAGTCACTGTGAGTCTGTGACAATGATGCCATCCATGCCTGACTGACGTCAGGGCATGGTGAAGGAGCGTAGTCCCTCATTGTTTTAGTTACACTGTACATTAGTATTTTTTAGTATCATGTGTGCTTATTTTTGTTTTGTTTTTTTTAATTTTATTAGAGAGTACCAATAATTTGAACAGTTTTGGCTGATGTACATGTATGTAATTAATTGCTGATTAAATAATCCTTTTTGCATAACTGCAATGAATTCTTTTAATGTTATTCAACCATTTCCATCTCTATCGGCTTCAGTAGCCATCCCATCAAATTTTTTATGTTGCTCAAAAATTGGGCCAAAGTCCCTTGTACAGGGTCAAGGACCAATTTTTGCCAAAAATAAAAAGGTAAGAATTCTACATTTTAATAATTTTTAATGATACACATACATGTACATGTACTTATGTTGCGTAGAATGTTTGAGGTGAATCTGATCAAAATTGGATTTTTACAAATTTTTGAAGTTGCTCCAAAATCGAATCAAAGTCCCTGTACTATTATTATAGTACAAGATCATGGGCCAAATTTTGCCAAAAAAGGGGAGAATTCTATTTTTTTTTTCTACATGTTTTGATGTTGTGTACAAAGTTATTGTATTGTTCAAGCTATTAAATTTGATTTTCTTTTTTTGTAAGCTAAGTTTGACAGTTGTCCTGTATTATAATGCTGTCTAATAGAACTATGTGTCCACATGGCCGCTGAGAGAGCAGTGAGAGCCCTGGGAAAGGTTAAAAATTTGAGCATAGGAAGTGCATTTTTTGCCCCATAATGTTAAAATGATGCATTTTGTAGGCCCTATTCTGATTTTTGGGGCCCTATATAGCAATTATAGCTGGGGCCCTGGGAATTTGCCCCCTTTGCCCCCCCCCTCTCAGTGGGCCTGTGTGTCCATTAAAGAAAGGTTCTATACAGTTTCTCATATGGTGTATTTTTATGTATACACTAACAGGCTAATAATAGTCATCTGAGATGTCCCTGATAGACATGTACTGAAATTTATGGAGCTCTGTATTGGAAGTGCAACTGTATAAATGCTTACAAAGATGCTACATCTCATTCTCACTTGTGTAGAGTCACTCACCCCACTCTCTATCCTACTGTTTTCTACATCTCTGGGCCACTCCTTATCAACCTTCTCCTTGTCTCCCCAACAACACCATACTAGTTGCCGCATGTGGTCTGTACTGTAAAGTCCCTTTAAAATTCATAAAGATTCAATTTTTAATGAAATCAACCTAAACTTTCTACACAACATTAGATAATACACCTAATATTTTAACAGTCAATATTGAAGGGTGGGTCTGCAACAAGGGGTGCAGTCAGGTCCATTTTCATATATTACCTTTAATTGGTGCCCATGCTTCAGATTTAGAAGAGCTACGAGGGAATAATGTTATCTGGAAATAATGTCAATTTGTGCATTGCATGCTCACATAGATATGCAAATTAAACAATGCAATAATTATTATTATGCATATTGCCAGCTTTCTTCTCTCTCACTCTCTAGTTTTTGTGTTTATGCAGGGTTGTGCTGTACAATTTGTAATTCAAAAAATCTTTAAAAATGTGCTCACAACCTCACATTTATACTTGCAGCAGCCTGGCTATTCTATTGTAAGTGGAATTAAAAGATTAAACATAATTAATGTAATTAAAGCATAAGGGGTTGATAACTAAAATATTCAAATGATAGCAGCAGTTTAATAAAGTCACAAGTATTTTTGCAACTCATTCTGGCAGCCTTTCCATTGCTTCCTCTATTGTCATCACAGTGAGATCTGAGTGATATTTTTCAGCAGCTCTGCATCTTTCATCAATGTATTTTTCAAGTAATTCTATTTCAGCCAATTTTTCTTTGTGGAACTTTTGATAGGCTTCCAATTCTGCTTCGCATCGTTCTTTTGTTATTTTATTTTCTATTTCAGTAATTTCTTCCTGCTTTTTGTGTATATCATTAAGGACTTTTTTGCTATTTTTACGAGCCTCTTTTAATCTTTCACTATATCCCTCTATCTCTCCCTGCAGCTTCTGGTACTTTTCAGAATCTTTATGTTTAATGTAATCTGTTTTTGCTACCATTTGGTTCTTCACTTTTATTGGTGGCAATTGAAAGATGTAGTCAAGGATTGCTGTACGTACAGCTAGACTGATCTCCATTTCAGCTTGTTCCAGTGGCAGACAATCAATTGTGAACAGTTGTGGCGAATACGTTACTGGATTATTAGAGCATTTGCGAAGCTCTTCTATGGTGTTACATTTTACTTGCTCTACATTAATGTGCTGCCTCTTTCTCATTATTTCTGAACGCTCATCTGTTGCATAGTCAGTCATTACAATGATGACATTATTATCAAACAAGCCAGGCAAGAGCTTACTGTAATATTCCAGTGTTGCTTTGTACTGTGCATCAATTTTAGCATTGAACTTAACAACGAGAATACAAACTCTGATTTCTCTACACTCATTCAACTTTTTTACAATATCAATTGCACGATATAATTTTTTTGCAGCACTTTCATCCAACCCTGGGGTATCGATTATGGTAAGCATCTCATTTCTATCATCATCAATTTGGACCTTCTTAGTTACAATTTTGACCTCCTGTGTCATTGGTTTGTTGTCCCAAGCTGGAGAAAAGGTTGGGTTGTCAAGCATGTGTGTCCCATCAGGATCAATAAGATAGTTCCCAAAGGTGCTTTTTCCCATCCCAGTGAATCCTATGAGGAGAACAGCCATGACTGACTGAAAGGAGTTGGAAATGAAGTTGCTTCAATGATGCATGTAGCTTATAGGTGGTGTGGTGTGATCAGTGGTGTGATGTTTCATAAAAGGAAATGTAACTAATAGTTCATAAAAGGAAATGTAACCAATATTTTTACAAAACAATGAATCTGTATACAGTTGTACAGCAGTAGCTACATAGGTGATGATATTCATTGTTTCTAGTGAGGTATCAAGTTACAATTCTTATTATTCATGTGGCATATATTTTGTTAGATACACTAACAAGTTGATAATAATGAAATGATAGGTATCTCTGGTGGATGTGTTGGTGGTTCAGTTACTGAAATTAAAGCAAAACCTGTTGCTAAAGCTGATCAGATTGTATTTTTAATTATTAATATAGTTTTGGGCTTGTTCGTCTTAAGCCTGGTTTCCATATAGCCCTACAACAGCCTTACAACACTGTTGCAACAATTGTGGAGATAGAAATGAGGTCTATCTCTACAACAGTTGTATGCTAACCACAGAATCCACACAACAGCTGCAACTATATGGAAACCAGGCTTTAGGGATCTCTGCAGAAAGAGAAAGCATGCAAGCACGTGGTTACAGATTACTGGAATTTACTGACACTGTATTACTACCAAGAAGGAAGTGTAAATGCTTATAAAGGAGCTAATTCTCACTTGTGTAGAGTCACTCGCCCCACTCTCTCTCCCATTGTTATCTACATCTCTGGGCCGCTCCTTCTCGACCTTCTCCCTGTCTCCCCAACATCACCACACCGCCGCATGTGGTCTTAGACGGTGTAAGGCGACACGGCTCAACAATAGAACGACCATACACTTCTCATTAAAGTGTTATTATTGAGCCCATTAATTCTGTTCTCTGGGGATTCTTTGACTTTTAATGATGTCAATTACTAGAGGATCTCTTTATTTTCTTCTTCTCTTCTTATTCTTCAATTATTTCATTGTTTGTTGTACTGGATCTCATCTTTGTCCCAATAAAAGGAGAAGTGTTGATTTGTATATAGCAGGACATCAACTGATAGGTAAGGAGTAAGAGAGAGGAAGAAAGTATAAATAATAGAGTAAATGTTGTGAATGAGTAAACGGAAAAAGGATATCGTTAAAAAGAGGTCAAGTTATGAGTGGAAGGGTCGTACATGTAGAAGTATGTACATTGTACGTACATACATCAATATTAGAAAGGGGAAGTGCTAATAGTCAATGGTTAGCGCAAAATGAAGGAAGCATGCTTTACTTGTATTTAATCAAAAATTTATTTGTGTTGTACATGTACATTGTGTGCATAAAATTAATTTGACCAAAATGTATTTTTGTGATTTAATTATTTGCGAATTAGCATCATCTGTACAATATTAAATAGAGTTTATTAGTAGAATCTGTTTGTGCTGTAGCTTGTGGTTAAGAAGCGAAAGAGAAAAAGCAAGAGAGAGGGAGAGAGAGAGAGGGAGGGAGGGAGAGAGAGAGAGAGAGAGAGAGAGAGAGAGAGAGAGAGAGGTGGGAGAGATATAAAAGATGATAAAATAGTAAACAGGTTGTGTTCCACTGTACACTGTACATTATTGTGGTATTACTAATACATTTAGCATACACAATTACTCTTCATTTGTTTGTATACTCTCATTCCATTTACAGATAATGAAGGAAGCCCTGATCATGACTTGTATCTGATATGTGACAGCACTAGTAATATATCATCATGGAGGATACCACCCA